TTGAGATGATCAACGGGAGCTGGTTTCAGTTAGCCCCGTTAGTGCCTAGGAGATGGAGCAACTCACTTGTGAGGCCATCTGGTTGCATGGGGCATTTTCTGCGTTCAGCATTGGCCTCCCTGGACCCCAAATCAGAGGAAAAGCTAGTCAGGCATTTATCAAGATAAACCTGGGTCGGAAGACTCACCGAAATACCGTGTGCTTTCCTATGTGGTCCTGAGAGATGACTAATGTCTCAAAATGCTGCAGCATGGGCAGCCTAGCATTGGGGGATATTAGCAGGGATTGAACGGTGCCACTGTGACCTCACGTTGCTGTCCTGGACAAAATTCTGGGCCTCGGTTCTCAAAGGACCAAGTTCCAATCTCATGGGACATCAGGGCAAATGCAGTGTCCCTTCATCCCTGCTGAGATGTGGTGCTCAACCTCTGGAGCAGGATGGGTGGATGTGAGGATGGTACCTGGAAATGCTGCCACCCTCTGATTAAAACATAGTGCTTGTCACATGTGTCTCATCAGAAACTGGAGGATGCCTGTGTTTTGGTCACACGATGGAGGTATCCCTGCTCACACCGGGAGATATGATAACAACTGCCAGCACTTGTCCTACTTCCCTCTATCCTGTGGCCAGACATGGACATTTGGAACAGGCTGCCCAGGGAGGCTGTGGAGGCTCCTGCTCTGGAGGTCTTCAAACCCGCCTGGATGCCACCGTGTGCCCTGTGCTCTGGGTGTCCCTGCTCAAGTAGGGGGGTTGGACTGGATGATCTCAAGAGGTCCCTTCCAACCTCAACCATCCTGTGATTCTGTGAAACACCACCTGTATTTGGGTGACGTGACAGAAGCATAGCTGCTCACATGCACCTATGGGACCCTTGCAGATGGGGGCAATGAGAAGCCACTTCCTGGCCCTACTCGTACAATCAGCCATTCACTTCCCACTTTTCCTCTGGCCCTTCCCAGAGGCTGGCAAAACTCTGCATGCATTCCCTGGGAGCAACGGATCCTGGCTCTGGGCTGCAAGTTGTTCCCCTCTTCTGGGCCAACCAGCCTCACACCAAGCAACTTGGATCCAAGACCCAATTTTAATCCCACCTCCACTATCGACTTACTGTGTGGCATCAAAGCAAGTAGGTCCTTGCTTCTATCTTCCTTCTCCTGCATCTCTGTTGAACATCTTGGGAATTTTTACTTGTCTTGAGCAGAAGTTGCCTGTCTTGATGGTAGCTCTTGAGTGATGAGGGATCTGCATGACTTCTTCGCATGCCGTAGTAAGGCTGCCAGCAGGCTGGCTGAAAAAAAGCTGGTACCTTGTGTCATAGCAGCCACACAACTCTCCAGACTTGCTGAAAGGTATCGCAGAGCCTGGCAGACTCCTGCAGGGCTCAGCCGTCCTGTCCTAGAACATTTCTTGCAGCTGTTAAACAGCTTGCCGCATTAAAAGCCATGAATGAATTGAAGTGATTCTTGTAAAGGAATAGGTTGCAGAATTTGGAGCACTCTGGGATTTGGGAGCAACACTGCTTTGTAATTTAGATCTATTAAATACTTAGTAATATCAAAATTTCATGTGGCACTTCAGAGTAGGCTGAGGTGGCTGTGTTCATCAAGCAATTTTCCCTTGGGGTGACCTGGCCTTTTGGAATAACCAAGGGGGTCATATTTGATCCCAAGCTATTTCCTCCTTAGATTTCCTTCTTCCTTAAGGCTTTCTACTGATTTACACAAAATGAGAGACCAGACCAGAGTCTTTTATCCAGACCTTTTCCAGGTTTGATGGCGTTTCTCTACAGCCAGCCCTTATCGCTTGTCTGTACTTTACTAACAGGTGAGCTCAGGACTTGGAAATGAATTTCCCTGGTGCTTTGGAGCAATGAACTTGGATCTGAGGGAGGGGATTCCTTCTTGAAGTGGGTGACCTCCACCACTGTTGCATGCGTTTTATCCTAAGAGAAACCTGCGACCACCTCAGTGGGTTTAGGCTTTGCAAGGTGGTGACCACAGACTTGGTGGTTTACAGTGCCTGCAATACCAAAATAACCGCGTGAGATGGTACCCTGGCAATGAGCAGTGATGCTCCCAACGTGAGCGCTGCTGTCGCTGCCAGCCGCACCGTTTTGCCCCGGTGCTACTTGGCACTGCCGGGGCTGCGGACGCCGTGCGGGGCAGCGCATAAATCCCTGCCCCGCTGAAACGCAGCCGCTTCGGGAACAGAGCCCGAGGGGGCAGTTAGCAAAGCCCGGGGAATTTATGAAATGGGAAGCCCAGGGGCTGCAGTGCTGAAGATTCAGTGTAGAAAACTCCCCCAGGCTGGAGGCTAGTGGCAGAGAGAAACCCTCCCATCCAGAGCGGAGGCTTCTCGTGCACGCTGGGCGCAGGAAACCCACACACCTCAGCCGCCAAACCCCACGAGCTCATAAACAGAGACCTCCTTTTGCAGTCACATCCTTTCACAAGGTGCTTTTATTCCTCTGCATGTGTTCGTGTTGTTTATTCCTGCCGTGCGTTGATACAACAGGTCATACGTTTGGAAGAGGCTGCCAAAGATAATATACATCCTGTCATAGTAACAAGATCATCAGAAGGAAAACTGAAGAGATAATAAACCAGCAGGAAAGCTGAAGAGTGAGAAACAAAAGAGGAACAGAGAAGAAGTGACAATGTTATCTTTGTTTAACGCTCCTCTGAGTCACCATTAGTTATTTAAGATATTCATCTGCTAGCTCCCAGCCCTGTCAAATTAAGAGATCCAAGGTTCATTTTTTTTTTGTGTTGCCAAACAAGTTGCTCTGGTCCGAAGGGAGAGGCGGCTTCCATGAATGACGGCTCGCTTTTATTGCAGCCCGCTTTGGAGGCTGGAAGGAGGCTGTTTGTGGCTGCACGGAGCCACGTGGTGACACAGGGACCTTTTCAGTGTGCAGAGAGCGGAGGGGCCGGGCCGAGGCGGTGCCTTGTGGCGAGCGCCCAGTCCAACCTGCGGCCTCCGGTTGGGAGCAGCATCCCCAGGGTCTGCACCAGGCGACCTTCCCATCAGCGCTGCAGTCTCGCCCGCGTTTCACCCCCAAAGACGCCCCTCGGAGAAAGGGGGGAGCCCCGGGAGGCACCCACACTGCTGCTGCGAGGGCTGCTGTGCGCGGCCGCCCACGTGCGCCTGCGGTGAAGCACCCGTCTTCCCGCTGCCTCATGCTCCTCCTAATTAACCCAGGGTCCGGGCTGGTAGCCAGAACATTCATTTAACATATGGGCTCAAAGGAGTCGACATTATTTTCCTGGGGGCTCTGCAGCGAGAGGAGAGGCACCTAGCAGGGACAAGCGGTGGAGAGGGAGGCAAGCGGCTGCTGCAGGGCCTGGCCTCCCTCGGGCTGCTCTGTAGAGTGGCAGAGAGGGCAGGAAGGGGACAGCGAAGGCGAAGGGGGTGACTCTGCCCTTGCAGGTGGCACCTGGGCTCTGCGAGGCCCTTCGGTTCGCCTGGAGCAGCGTCTCCCCGCAAAGAGAGGCCTGCGAGCTGCCGAGGCGTGGGATTAAATAAATTAATGAGCTGAAGCGGGTGCATGAAAATCAGCATCTTGCAGGGAAAAAAAAAGAAAGGAAGTGAGGATTTATGGAAGGGGTCAAAGGGCCACCATCCCTTCTGGATGCAGGCCGAAATCTCCGCAGGGTCCCTCTTTCCCAGCACGTTCGTTGCCAGCGCGAAAGAGCAGGACAGAAATTATCACAGCACAATAATTAGCAGCAGAGCCCTGGTGAGGGCTGCCTGCACTGGGGGCTGCGGAGCTGCAAAACTGCAGATTTTATCATTGTCGGCGTTTTCCTTGGAGCACCAGAAACGCCAGGGGAAGATCCAGAGGAACTGGGGGGCTCTTCCTATGCTGAATCGTCAGCAACTAATCTGGGTGCTTCGTAAGGCCCTATGCACGCCGAACCCTCTGTAAAATCTGCTCTGTGGCACCATTTTGGCTTAAACCAAGCCTAACAAAGCTTCTCTTCGCTCTTCTGTAAAATGTCTGGTAACGGAGGCTACAACGGGCTCAGTCCTTGCAGGCGGCCAACCTGGACCACATGGCTCCGACCTGCTTTCCCTGCACGCAGTGCAGATCCCTGTGATGCTTTTCGGGACCTGAGCCCCAGATATTCCAGCAAATAACTGAGGAGCAAACAGTGTGTCCTTCTGGGGTGGAAAAAGAGATGGAAGGGTGCAAATAGCTGAGCCCACGGCCAGTGCGCCCGGCCACCTCGGTGGGCAGCGGGGTGGTCACCGTCCCCATCGGATCTTTGGGAAGACCAGGGGATGCAGCAGGGTCTGGAAACCCTGAGCCAAGCCCCAGCCGTGTGCATGGTTACAAGGAGCGAGCGGAAAAACGGCCGTGCCTCTGCTTCTGTGCTCCGTGTTTATTTTATTTGGTGTGTTTATTTTGGAGGGGATTGCCAGCAAATTTCATTTCAATATGGTTAATCCCCATATGTATTTACTGAAGGCAATTAGCTGCATTTAAATTGAATATACACAATAGAGAGTTAAATATACAGTTTATATAGGATAATTAGATGTATACACACATATAAATAGATGCATAACTCTGTCTGCAGCGGGTGCTGGTGAGGAAGGACCAGGGTAATGTGCCGTGACAATATTTATCTCATACCATATTTGCAACCTGGTAGCTAGAGGGATCCTGTTGCCCTGGGGGAGAGCCCTGAACCCCGCTGTGAGAGCTGCCCTGTCCCCTCCTGCCCGCACCAGTCCCCACACCCTGCCAGCACCAAGCCCTTTGCTCTGTAAAAAGAGGGATTTTTTGTGTGGTTTTTGTGTTGTTTTCACCTGTCCCTGCTCGGCTGGCAGCCCATCTTTAAATCACACGCAGCTGGGTTGCATGGGCAGTGTTAAAACCTGCCTGTGGCTAAATGTGGTGGGAAGCTGTGCTGCCTTTTGAGAGTTTTTGAGTTCCTCAGTGTCTTTTCTTTTCCTGTGGTTTTCTCATTCCTGGCTGGAAAAGAGAAGATGGGCTGAAATCCTGGGACTCCTGTTGGTGGCTGCTGCAGCTCCATGTGTAACTAAACCTTCCCTTGCCTAAAGTGCTGCTTGGGGAATTTGATTCCCAACCGCTATTTATGGCTATTGATTTCTGCACTTCTTATTACCACAGTAAGTGACCTGTAACCAGAGCGGCAACTGGTGGGTTTATCAATCTCCTTTGGATAATTAGTAAGGCGGGAGGCTGGAGGAGCGAGGGAGCGCCACAGTTGAGCCAGGCTCAGGTACAGGCTGCCGGGGGCGCTCGGTGGGAGGACAGGGAGCTGGGCTCATCCCAACAGCCTGGCAGGGTACTAGTGTCCATGGGGACGCCATCATTTCATCCTAATGAAGCACCTGGAGCTCCTGGATGGTGTTTGGGCTGAGTTGCAGCCCTGAGTGCTGGTGTGGGGGCTGTGAGCGGGCACCCAGCCGCGGGGCACCCTGGTGAGGCTCCCCAAGCCAGCGGGTGCTTGAGGGAGCCAGAAGGGACCTGGAGATGAGCATGGGTTGCACATAGGTGGCATTGCAGAGCTTGGGAGGCCCCATCTCTCCATGCTGGGCCCACCAGGCTGGGGACACTGCGGCAGAGCCACCGCGAGGGCAGGGATGGGAGCTGGAAGCTGCGAGTGGAAAGTGCAAATTAAACCTGCGTCTCCTCGAGGGTAGGCCAGGGTCTTGCCCCAGACGATTGCCTTGCTGCTCCTGGCTGACCTCTTCCCCATGTAAACAGCTTTTCGGTGGAAGGCTAATTCATTCTCCCAGCTAAAAATGATCATTGTTGCGAGAAAGTGTTCTGGGCGTGAATGCTTTTTGCAGCAAATAGCAGCATTAACGAGTTCATTTTCTCCCAGCAATGCTATCAAAATCTCTTTAAGCCGCTTGCAGCGCGCGCTGCGGATGCGTTCGGCCCAGCCGGCGGGATGGAGGGGGCTGCGAGTGCAGGGGCCTCCGCGCCGGAGCTGCCCCGGCCGGGACAGCACGCGTTGTTGATGCGCCCCAGGGGCGTGGGGTGGGGACAGATCCCCATGCCAGGGAGATGGAATTGCAATGGAAGAAGGGGCAGGGGAGCCCAGCTCGAGGCGCTTTGCTGGAGAGTGTTTTTGGGGGCAGGTTGTGAGTGCCGGGAGCAGCTTTGGCCAAGACTTCTCGGGCAGTGGGCACGGAGGTCTGTGCTCTGGGACACGGGCGGGGCGGGAGGCCTGTCCGCGTGGGGACGTGCTGGAAACTGCGGCTGAATTGTGTGGCTTCACTGCACGTTGCGCTGCTTTGTACCTCCGTTCTCCTAGACGGGTTGAATTGTGGTGGTTTCTGGACACTGGGAGCATTTTCTGTGCTTAGTTTCCACCTTCTGGTTTGTGTGGCTTGTCCTGTGTATCCCCGAGCAGAGCGGCCCTGAGCTGCTCCCTCTAACCGGTGCAGCCCATCTCCATGTCTCCATGCTGGGTGTGAGTAGGACTTTAGCATTTATCCCCAGTGGTTTGCCCAGAGACCAAAGCAACAAGTAGTTAAAGCTCCGGAAATCACTAGGAGACTCCCTGGCAAAGCTGGGGAAGGTCTGTGATCCGTGGAGCCGGTGCCTGGCGCGCTGCCCTGCACTGCTCCCGCACGCAGGTGCTCCCTTAGCTGCAGAACAGCATTAATGTTGGTGGGCAGCTTTGTGGAGCTGTTCAGAAGGTAAAATTGTCGTGCTTCAGCGAGAGGGACCAGGGAAATACCTGTTTGCCAGCCGGGCACAGGCCTTGGCCGCCCCGTTTGTCCCCGGCCTGCAAGCGCCGTCCCTGGGGAGCGGCTGGTTTTGTCCTTTTTTTCTCATTTCCCCCCATGGAGACAAAAACTATCAAGATAAATTCCTGGTTATAAAATCAGCCGATCTCTGCTAACCTCTTCAGCTATTAAAGCAGAATAGCTGTAATAATGAGCATTGCAGTTTCCTTCATATCAGAAGATTAAAGAGAGGAAAAAAAAAAAAACAAAGTCAGGCCAATTTCTTCTCTCCTGCCGTCAGATCAGGGCCTGACCCAGCGTGGCGGAGCTCAGCGCCCCGCGCAGCTTCGTGTGAGCAGGGGGATCCGTGCAGCCCATCCCTGAACCCAGAGGCCGGAGCCGCCGGTGCCTGCGAGGGACCGTGTCCGGCTGTGCAGGGAAGGACAAGGGGCTTTGGGATGGCTGCTGGACCCAGAGCCTCACCTGGGGCTCTCATACTTTAAACGCACTGATATTCGCTGCTGATCCTGCCCCGGGGGCTGGCAGGGAGAGCGGCCGCTTCCCCGCACCTCCGGTGGAGAAAATCTGCCCCAGGCTGTGAGTGCAGAGCCCTTGGGAAAAGGAGTGGGAGACTGCATTGGGAATGATGAGGTTCTCGCTGTCCTCCTGCAGACAGGTGCCTTTACCACGGCTGTATTTGAAAATAATGTCTGCCAAGCATTAGAGTTCAGCGGGGTAGAAGTTTCTGCTGTCACTCTTTGCCCTCCCATTTATTTATTTATTTATTTGTGCACCATTTTGAAACAGCAAGTTAGAATAGGTTCTAATAATGCAATCTGATTGAATAATGAATAAAGATTAATGATTTTTCGCTAACGTAAATGATTACATGGTAATTGCTTTAATAGTATAAAATTATTTTTCGCTGCAAACCATGATTAATGATACTAGGGGAGCATTTGAATCCTGTGCTCTGGGTTTCTTTTTCTTTTTTTTTTTTTTTTCCCAAGTTCGGTGATTAAAGAACTAATATCATAGTTTACTCTTAATTTTTCTGTAGGCAGTGATCATCAGCTAATGCCTCGGGATGAGGGTGGAGTGGGTCAACAGCTTTATGTATCAAAGCTCCCTGCGATTGCTCAGCTCCTCTGCAGCAAAATGGAAACGAGCATTAGCTCCTTTTCCACCCCATGAATCTGCTCCTTAGTTATATTTTAAGGGTGGTGAGTTTTGTTGTCACGATGCGTAATGGTCCTAGCAGAGATCAGAGCCTCGTGCTGGGCACGGAGCAGCAACGCTGCGGGCAGGAGGGCGGAGGAAGGCTGAAACTCCTCAACAAACCGCCTGAGCAAGGAGAGAAAGAAGGGGATTTTCCCTCCCTATTTTCAGGAGGAGGAAGCCCCTATTTGCAAAGCTGGCACAGTTCAGGGCTGAGGGACTTGGCCCTGTCCCACCTGGTGTCCGTGCTGGCTCCCCGCGCATCAGCCTCGCTGCACCCCATTTCTTTTGGTGATCATTGGGCCCCTCGAAACTCGCTGTCTCCTTGGTGACAGTGACAAATAAGTGGTGGTCTCTCCCCCCACCCGCCCTGCGGGATGTTAATGAAGCATTTAATCATTTGGTGTTTTCTTGCTTTGGCTTCTTTTATTTTAGTTCACAGGAATCAGAGAAACGCTCGAGCGTGGAGCGGGGAAAAACAGACGTTCAATACCCGCCTTTATCTGTTATTTGCCCCCGTGATGGGGAATTAATTGCCTTTTGATTAATGAGCCCTTCAGAGGAGAGCCTGAGCTGGGGACTGAGACAAGGCAGGCGAGAGGAGGTGAAGATGCAGCGCTCTGCGCTAACCTTGGTACCTGCCAGCGTGCCAGGAAGGAGTTAAAGGGCCAAAAGAAGTGGAGCCTTGGGTAGGGAGAGGGGGAAGTTGTGCATGTGTCAGAGGAGAGAGAAAATGCAAGGGAAAGAGGAATTCAAGCAGCAGTTTAATTTTATGAGTGCTTTCACGCCCCTTGAATGGTGAAGGGGAAAATGATTTAATTAAAAATATATTTACTTTTAATGCAACCATCAATATTTCCATCCGTGCTGATTGTTAAGAGGGTTTGCGTGTTTGCATGTTTAAACATTGCTGGCTCTGCCGTGCGCTCGCTCCTTCCCTGCCAGCAGCAGCCACCGCTGCCGCGCGGCTCCTTTTGGGGACCAGCCCGAGCAGGGGCCTAAAACGCTGCTTGGGGGTGAGACAGGCACCCAAACACGGCTCCGTTTTGGTGGGAATGGGGGTTCAGGACCCCGTGCAGGTGCCCCCGTGGGCTCTGAGCCCCCATTCCCACTGGTTCCTTAGGACCAGAGAAGTGCTCCTATCCATGAAGCTTGCGGCTGTGTTCCCACCCTCCCATTCCAAGTGGAAAATCGGGCGAAAACCAAAAATGAGCAAGGCGTTTGTGGTGCGGTAAGAACCAGCAGCGTGGTCTGTTAGCAGCAGCCTTTCTGTGCGGGCGGCTCTTTCGACGTGTGGGATTACAGCAGGGCAGCCAAAGGATGGGGCCGCCGAAGGCAGGCGCTGCCATTTCCTTCCCTAACAGCCCGGCAGACGTCCTGTCCTGCTGGGCCTGTCCTCAGGTGAGGGGTGAGCGCCGTTCGCTGCTTATTCAAAAATTTGGCTTTGCTGCACCTAAATAATCGATGATAAACGCGAACAGAAGGTCCCAGAGAGCATCTTTGCTTCATGCCCGATGCAAAACCAACCCTTGCTAAGCCATTTCTAAGGCAGCCCCGCAGGCAGCCATTCGCCTTTTATTGCCGCAGTCTGTTCCCCTTCTGATCAAATACAGCCCTGGATCTTTTTCCGCCGAGCTGCTGCCCAGCCCGTCCTCGCCCATCTGGTGTTTGTGCGGGCGCTGAAGCGGTGCCGCTGCCGCCACGCTCACGCCCTCCTCGCTGCCTTTCATCCGCCTCGTGCGGTAGCTCGGGCGACTTCTCCCATTGCAGGTCCCAGGCCTGCTCTGAAATGGGGTTTTGTGTCCTCCAAAGTGCTCCGGGCCTCTTGTGGGGTGAGCCCTCTGCGGATCTAATAAACAGCTCCCCTCTTCCCTCATTTGGGAGGCTAATTGAAATATCAGTACCAGAATCAGGAGAGAGCCCTGACAGAGAGCCATTGATAATCCCGCTCCGGGCAGAGCCAGGTTGAGGTAGAAACAGTTCCTGGAGCGCTGACGAGAGTGTCATGGGAGGCAAGGGGAGGCGGCTTTACCAAAGCAGAGGCAGATGAGAGTCCCGGCCTCCTCCCAGCACCAGGAAAATGGAGGAAATGAGATTGCTTTGACCCGGTTTGTTCTTTGCAGATTTGTTTTGGCTGTTCTTCATTTTCCGTGTTCTTCCAGGTGCTGCCGTAGATGTTGTTTACTTCCAGCGCCTTTCAGGGAATCAGAGGCAAGCTAATTTGCCTCCTTTCCCCTCTCAGAAGGCAGGTGTTTTTACTGCCCTTTTCAACATTTCTGGAGCATTGTGGTCTCAGATCCCAACCCACCAGCTCCGCGGCCACTGCGAGGGGTCCCAGCACCCCAAACATCCGCCTTGGCTCCCTTCTCCCCACACTCCTCTGCCTCCTCTTAGCCCAGTCTCGCTCTGTAGCATTAATTGTGCCAGACATCAACTCACAGCTGATGTGTTTAGTGCAGCCTGAGTGAAAGAGGCTTTAGCCTTCTCATGCTGCCTGTCGATAGCTTTCCCTCTTCAGCCACGCTGACATTTTCAAATGTTCTTTTTTTCTTCTTCTTAAATTCAAAGTGACTTTTCCTGCTGTTTTAAAATTTAAATCAATTTCTCCTTAAAAAGTAGGAGCGTTTTAATAAGGCCATGCAGGTTGAAAAGAGATGCTTTGAAATGTTACTTGCTGCTTGAGCTTGGTTCTTTCTAGAAGAGCTACTCCAGGTTTGGCCAAAACATTTTTTTACTTTTTTTTTTTTTTTTCTTTTTTTCAAGAAAGGAATGATTCAACCTCCCCCCAGCTTCTAGTTTGCTTTCTGAGTGATCAAAACATCATATTCATCCCATACTGTGCTTTGGCTTGACCAGCACATCCGCTACTGCAGCAACTATTTCCCTGTGAGATTTCCTGGGCCAGCGTACACGAAAACCTTGGATGCTCCTGCAACTCCATCTGTATCGATAGCAATCAGAGCAGCCAGCCTGAGTCTGCAACAGGGAAAATTGGATGGATATTGAATAGAAATGTGTCTTGTCCCACACACAGCGTCTGCGAGCTAGTTTTAAATGCAAATAGGATGGGAAAGACGAGGGAAATTCAATAGCAAATGTTCTTTAAGTTACTTTGCATGGATCATTAAGTAGAGCTCTAAGTGCCCAGAGACCTCCAGCATGAAACAGGAAAAAAAAATCCCAGGATTCATTCAAGTTCAAGACAGCTCCATCAAGTGCAATTCTTCAGGAATTTACCCATCTGCTGCAGCTCCATCTTACAAAGGATAATATTTCTGGTCCATTTGATTCCACTGGAGGATCCTACCAGGAATCCTCTGCTTGGGTTGTAGCCGTCTCCAGTTTTGCAGCAGGGGTTGCCTTGTGGCCCAGCTGCTCTTACACAAATGTTGTCCCTTAACACAAGTGCTGCTTCTGGGTGACGGAGGGAGAGGAGCGCGTTTGTCCCTTCAGCTCCATCCCCTGGCAGATGCGGCTCCGAGGGAGCGGAGGGTTGTGGTTTTTGCCTGTACAAACACCCTTCTGTGGTTTTTTTTTCTGTGACTGTTCCCGCAAAACAGTGAATGGCTTTCTAAAATCAGCACCCAAGCACTTTTAAAGTATCAGAAGTTTTCATTGAAAGCTGAGGGGTTCATTGCAAAGAAAGTAATAACTTTTCTTCCAAAAGTCAAAGCTTCCACTTCTTCATTTTAGTTTTTGCTGATAAGTCACGTGAAATAGGGGGAAAAAAAGTAGTTATGTGAAGGTGTTTCCAGGCCGGGGTGCCAGGCGAGGCCGTGGGGTGCTGAGGGCGATTGCCATGGCTACTGCTGCCCTGCCCGCGGCCGCCATTTTGTACCAACTGCTGCTGCGGGAAGGCGACCGCCATGGGGCCTCCTGGCGGCCGCCTTTTCCATGGACATGAGCATCTGGAGCACACAGGACACCTGTGGACATGCAGGCACCTCCAGCAAGATGGCTGATGCCAACCGAGTTCTCAGGGGTGGTCACTGTCGCATCTCAGGTGTGACACCCACCATGGGCACCTGAGCCCTGTTCTCGACTCTTTGCCATGGACCCTTGAGGTGAGAGCAAGTTCAGAGCGTGTTTCTTCCTCTGAGGGCCACCCTTGGCTGCCGGTGTCCTCAAGGCCAAGACCTGGTCACCATGTACCCTCAGAGGAGACGGCACCTGGGGAGGCAGCAGCCCTGTGGGTCTTGGCTGACTTGGACCTCCTTTGCTTCCCGGTTGCTCTGAATCATCCACAATTACATCTGGGCAAGCATGCCACGATAATTGTTGATTATTGCTAGCTCCCACGGGAGCAAGCAAGGCAAGGAGATGGCGCGTGGCGTTGACGAGAAATTCAGATCGGCGGCGTATTTCTGGAATGGGCTCAAGCACTGAGTAAATACAGGAATAAATTCAATAAGTAAGAGGTGTGGAGGAGCGAGTGAGATGGCCTTGCTGTGTCAAGATAACTGTACCTTGTCCCCTTGCTCTGCAAACTCTGTTGAGCAGATTTATTAGTTTTAATTAACAGGAGGGAGAAAAAAAAAAAAGCTGGGAAGACATCCAAATTCCAGCTCACAAAATCACTGCTCCTTCCTCAAGATTGAGAGAGAAAGAGGGTGAATGACCAGAATAATAATGAGAAAAGAGATCTGGGTGCCAAGAAAGCCATTTCTCCACCCAGCCTTTGCGCTGACTCCCGGGATCGGGAGGGACGTGCACAGAGCTGGATGGGAAGTGATTTAAGCTTTGGGGGCTCTCTGAGGTTTGGAGTGGTCAAACCAACCTTCCTATCAAACCTTTTCCTCAAATGGAAAATGAGCTTTGAGCTTTGATTTATGTCTGTGTGTCAAGTACTGGTTTCCGTAGAAAATGCGGTTTTGTTTTTATTGGAAGCCCCCATCCCTAGGAACAGGTGGCTTGGCGAGGGTGGAAGCGCTTTGCAACTGGAGCTGAAATACTCCCAGGGCAGCAGGTTGCTGTGGTGGCCCTGGGGAGATACCTTGGGAAACGGCACCCGCTTCTGGGGACCGGCTCCTTCCACAGGCACCAGTGCTCCGAGCTGAACAGAGGGGGAATATTCAGCAACCTGGTGCTGAAAGGGGAGGCTGCGTGTGCTGTGAGAGAGGCCGCCTGACCCAGCAGCCTCCTGATTGCCATGGGGATAGGTGGTTTTCATACAAATGTGCTAGTAAACCTGCTACCGTAGTGCAACCTCATGGACAGCAGTGGATGGATGTCTGGCTGGAGTGTGGCTTGGTCCCAGCAGAGGAAAGGAGTTCAAAAAATGATAAAAGTCAACTCCCAGCCCAGAAAACACTGACAGTTCAGACCATCCAAAAGGAATTGGTGCTTCCTTTCATTTATTAGGTTTGCTTTTCTGTTGGCATCAAGTCGACATTTTCTGCCAAGGATTTGATGAGGATGAAATTCATTTTCTCCCTGTCAAAAATGGCTTGTGAGGGAGCCCCATCCTGCCAGCACATGTCACTCGTGAGCGGTGAGACGCAGGGCCGAGACCCCTGAGCAACTGCTACCTGCAAACCAGCAAGAGCTCGGCTTCGTTAGCCCAGCATGGAGCGTGAGCTAATTAGCCTTGATGAGTAGCCAAAAGCTGAGTTGCCTTTGGGCCTGAGTCCTTGCTCACAATGATATTTCATGATGTAGTTAGTCCTGTGTCTTACCTGGCATAGGGATGATGCAGCCTCTGCTGCATGAGAGAGCCCTGAGGGACTGAACCTCCTCATGGGGCTCCGTGGAGATGCTGAGATCTAGCAGGAGCTGGAAGGCGGCCACAAAACATGGAGGGAAAAACATCTTTGTTTTCTCTGTTCAGGTTCCCTTTCAAGTTTTGTTTCAGCTCATAAGAAACCATCTGAAAAAGAATGGGGAAGAATGGAGTTGGATGTAGGCACCGCATCTCCAGAGTTCAAAGGTACTTGGACTGCACATTGAGGCTTGGTCTCATCTCTGTCCTTTACAGATGTTCATTAAAGGGGTTTTGCGAGAAAGCATGGTGTCGCTCTCCAGGAAACAGCAGCTAGAACATTTTATCTTTGACTTTAGCAACTTCAACAAGTCCCTCGGGGAACAGCACAAGCAAGTTTTATTAAAAATAAAAAACCCTCACGGAGAGAGCTAACACTTTGTCTTCCAGATTTAACAGGAGCTGCCGGAGATAGCAAAGACACTTCAGAAAGGCTCTCGGGGCAAAGCAGGACATAAATAAACTGTTCTAATAAAGCCTGGAGCAACCCAGCACCATGACGGACACACAGGGCCCTAATGCACAGCCAAGCTGGATACGTCTTTTGGCCAGGGGGACAGCAGGAGTTACCATGGGCATCAGAGCGTTGTGGAGCACTGCCACGAAGTCAAGCCCATGGTCCCACAGAAGAAAATCTCCAGTGGAAATCCAGCGTCAAGCTGAATTCTGGCCCCAGGTTGAAGATGGGCCCCATGTTTTTACAGAGTTTTCCAAGCTAGAGTGACAGTGGATGCATTTTCCACGCTTTTTCTTTTCTTCATTTAGAGAATAAAATGTGTCCAGATACGGACTCAGGCTTTCAAGTTTGTCAGAGACCAGATATCTGCAAGATCTCGTCCCATCTGTGCTCAAAATAAGCCTGGATATGCTGCAGGGCTGGTAGTGGAAAGGTGTCAACCAGGCCCTGAGAAGGTGTGATTTTGCAGGCCTAATGTCCCCAGGAAACCAGTCCAGCAGTGACCACTGAAAGGGCTTGGGTCTCCTGGCACCTGTTCAAATTTCTTCATCAAGGGCTGGTATGAAACATTTCCATTGATGCTGCAGGCTGAAAATTGATCTTCTTCTTCTTAAACTAAGCTATGTTGTTTTTATTTCCCACCGAGAAATGTTGCAACTCTGTCAAAAAAACAACCAACCCACAAAGCTAGACCAATAACAAATGTTGAACAAATAGAGATATTTTCACTTTAGAGCCAAAAATCCAAACAAATCTGTTAAAAACAGAAATATTTTCATGTTAATAGCAGCAGACAGCCCGTTGCATACTCAGATAATTGCACAGCCTCTCGGATGGCAAAATACTTGACAGGACTGAGCCTCGAAGCGGAGCTAAACCAAGACGCGACTCCCGTCGCTGCTCCTGGCACTCTGCGTGTGCGATGTCCCGGTTTCCCCGCTGCACCAAATGGTTGTGTGCTGCCTTTAGGTGCTGAGATTTGCTCTGGGTTTCAGGGCAGTGGTCTGAACGATAATCCCAGGATTATCGCTGGAGGGTGATCGTCCTCGTCAAAGAGATGTCACCACCGAAACGGATGTCCAAGCAAATTGCTCCTCTCCAAATGGCCGGGGCCACACAGGTGCCACACGGCCGGCGGGGATGCGTCGGCTTTTCGGCATTACTGCTACCCTCATGGTATTTGCAAGCTTGGAGGAGCAGGTCTCCTGCTTCCATCTTTGGTGTCTGGCAAGCTTCATGCCCTGGGGATCTTCTCCTCTGCCTTCCCCTTCCCGGTGCGTTTCTCGAGCTGGGTCCAAGGTGAGCAGGTAAGGAAGGGCAGTCCCTGCTCCGGGGAGCAGGGACAGGGTGCTTGGGCCTTCTCTTCCTGGACCTGCTGCACCAGGTCAGCAGCGGGAGAGCTGGCTTGTTTATAAATATCTTGGCATGAAGCCACCTCCACAAGGAGGAAAAGAAAACAGAAGAAAATGAACATGAAAAATGAATAGGGTTTTAGACTGTTACGTTTTCCGGGGTTTGCTGGATTGTGCCTTTCAATCCTCCATCAATCGTGTTTCAGTTGGGCTGGTTCGTTTTCCCAAGCGCCTCCTTTCTGGCTCGGCCGCCTGCTCCGTGGGCCGCTGCTGCCTGGGGCAGGGAAGTCAAGACAGGCCTGGAGCCAGGACAGCGCCCGTGGGCAGCGCCAGTGCCCGGCCCGCATCCAGGGGACCAGCCTTCCCCTTGGAGATAGGGACACATCCCGGGAGAGCTGCTGCTATCTCCTTGTGGCCTCACTTGCATCTGGAAGGAGGGAAACGCCTCGAAACCCCGTGGCCACCCCAAGCCGCCACTGCCCGGCCCTTTCCTGACGTACATCCGCCGTTGGCTCGACCCGGCTGCCCTGGCTGCCGGGAACGTCCTTTCCGTAAGGAGAGCGCTTTGCAGGGCCTAACGAGGCGCTGGGCGAGCCAGCTAGCGAGCAGCCGCCCGCATCCTCCTTGGCACTTCATTGCGCAGCGGGGGAAGCACGGGGAAGGGCTTTATGTGATTTTAGAGGAAGACAAAATGCCTTAATAGCAGCCAGTGCTGCTGCTCGGGGACCCAGGGGACCCCCGCCGCAGCCCATAATAATCATCGTAAATAAAAGGGGACGTATCCAGTGTGCAGCACGGGTTGTTAAAACAAGCCCCTGGGTGGAAGGCATCTCTTAAAAACAGGCTTTAGAGGATGTTTCTCTCTGCTTCCCTCCTCATTGCCCCTCTAATTCTCTTTCCCTGCATGGCGAGGCAATGGAAGGCTGGCAGCGGCCTCCTTTCCCTCAGCCTCACATGGCTTGACAAGTGCACATGTATATGTATGTATACATCATATCTATATCTATTCTTGGGCTCTTCTGGTGGCCTTAAGGGGGGACTTCCCTGTGCTTAGGCTCCTGCCCGGTCTTTCTGGGGAAAGGGGGGAAATCAGAGTATTCCCACAACACGAAAGTAAGTGGGAGGGTGGATTTTCCCTGCCGAGGGGAGGCAGCAGCATCTCCTCTGGCAGTGGCTGTGAAGTCTTGTGGTGTTGGAGTCCTTCTGTAGTGACCCGGAGCCTGCTGGGGCCTGAAACACTTTTTTTTTGGCGTAGAGGATGCACTAAATCCTTTCTTTTTCTTTCTTTTTTTTTTTGCAATATGTGCCTGTCTCTCAGGGTACTTCTCAGGGCTCCGCAAGCAGCACATTGGAAGCCAAAACTGTTTTGCTCTCATTTCTTTAGTTTCTTGCTCCTTCTGCAAGCGGTTGGCGGAACGGCGAACCTTCAACAACAAAAAAGAATGCTGATCAAGAGCCCTAGCTGAGAAAATGCTTTGGAGCAAGTGAAACTGCCTTTGTTTTCTGCATCATTCTTCCATTCAGTCGCCTTTGCAACCTTCACAGGTGCCCGACTTGGGGTCCTCCTCCTCTTCCTCCTCCTCTTCTTCCTCCACATCGTCCATGTGGTTAATCTCCCCCTTGCTTCTCACTCAGTAAGAGCATCATATAAATGTAATCTTGCGGTTTATGGGCTGTGAGGATCTGCCGGCATCAGATAAATCAATAAGGCACTTAGAGCATCACCGGCCCTCCTGGTCCTCTTGCATCAGATATCCATGGACTGAGTCGCACGTTCTCAGCCACCAACAGTCTTGGTGGAGCAAGATACGGGATGTGGGATCGTTTCCCACCCACGAGCCCATGGCCAGGGGATTTTGAGCACAAAACAAGGAGTTTTGCAGGCAGCACATCTGCCGGATCTCACTGCCTGGAGGAGCAAGAGGGATTTTGCCACAGATGGGGGCAAAGGCAAATTTGGCAGCAGCAGGTCCTGGGCCTGCACTTGAATTGGCTGCCGGGGATGGTGCTCAAGGGGGAGCTTTGTCAGCAGAGCTTGTTAGGAGAGTGGGAGAGCCACGGGGATGGAAAGGGGCTGGCCGAGGGCAGGGCCAGGAAGGAGGTTGGGAACAGCATGGGAGGACAAGTATGGAAATCACACCGCTGCCAGCCTATAGCTCAGGGAAAGGCAGCCAGAAATCCCCTGGCCACTGCCCAGAGACCCGATAGAGCCTCGTGGCGCGTGCTGTGCCTGGGAAGTGACAGCTTTTTCCTTTTCATTTTCCTCCGGCCTTGGCCCCAAACCTCTCTGTCTCTGCAGACAAGGTGCATGAATAAAACACGGCAGCAGCTGCTGCGGCTGCTGTCGAAGCCTTAAGCCCAACACGTTGCGGGGCCAGCACCTGGGAGAGCATCCCCAGCGCGGCCCTGTGAGGACGGGGTGGCTGCGTGCAGGCAGTGGGGAGGTGCCTGGGTTAAATTCCACTGCTTTACATGACACAAAAAATGCACAACCCCTTTGGGAGCCCTCGCTCTGCCTCTGTAAACCGGGACCACGTGGAGACCCGGCGGGCACTGACACGGCGGCCTGGGCTCCCCCGCGGCACCGGCCGTGCGCGGGCAGCGCTTGCCACCTCCAGCAACATCCAGCTGTTTGCGGCATTTTTAAAAAACACTCCTCAGAAATTCCCAGGCTCGGGGCGGAACAGAAGCCTGCCTTTGCGCCTGCAAACGGGCCGGCGATTTGCATTGATTTGCGCAGCACGTTTCAGTTATAAATGGCCACGCTGCGTTGGGGCGCCGGCGGTGCCGCACGGCCTCCTCCCCACAGCCCCAAATTGAGGCCGTGTCGCTGCGGCTGCTGCTCCGTGCGCGGCTGCTGCGGGAAGCAGTCGAGCGGCTCCGTGTGAGCAGGAAATTGCAGCTGAGCAGGGAGAGCAGGCACGGGTGCCAGGCCGCGCTCTTTGCCTGCTTGTAATTGCGGCGCCTCTGCTGCAAGAGTGGAGCAGAGTTCTGCATTGCACAGAAGGGCCAGGCTCGCCTGCGCACCAGAAGCACCCAGCTCCTCCCCTGTTTTCCTTTGGGGCCAATTTTCTCTTGTTTTGACCCATTGTGAGGAAGGAGGAGGATTCTGGGACCCGTCTCCTGCTCTGCTGCATCCACTGTGGAATGAAGTGGCCAAGAGGAACCCGTATGGATGGATTTACTGCTGTTCTGCCCCATCAAAGCGGCATGGAGCTGCCAGGGGACAGCATGAATCTGCGTCTCCCCTTCGTAAGGGAGCCAGGATTTAAGCCTCATCTTGTTAAAGATCTGAATATAAAAGGACTCTTCAGTGTGGATGGAGCCGTGTCGCAGCCAGTCTACCCACACAGAGGCCATCTCTAAGTCCCCACATGGAGGTGGCTGCAAGAAGGCCTGGCCTGACCCCAAAACGGCCCCTAGCCCGTGTTGCCCATTAGCCCCTGGATCCGCCAGGGGCTCCTTTGGCTGCTGATGGAAGAGCAGTGGGAACAGCCGCTCGAGTGCGGCGTTGTCCCGGCCCATGTCCCGGTTTTCAAGCATCTCATGATTACAGATATCTCGCCCGCAGAAGTGGGAGACGGGATTGGGGGATCCAGGAGGAATTCCCTGTATCTGCCA